CACCCGGGGGAGGGAAACGGGGCAAAAGGGGAAACGGCGGGGGGGGGGGGGGGGTCGGGCCTTTCGCACACGGAGAAAACATCCCAACAGGCCGTACACGGATCGCTCAACACACCCACTGGAAAAATGCAACGTCAACGGGAGTCGTAATGGCGACAGCAACCACGGTACACGGGGAGGCTGTATGCTTATCCGGCGCATGGGTAACGATGTCATTCAATCTAAGGATTCCGGCCACTAGACACACCAAAAACGTAGCGCTCGGACGCTCTTCCCCGTGTCTCCTCAAGAACGACAAGCCGCCCAAAGAAGTTGTGCTCAGGACCAACCAAGCCGCTCCATGATCAAAACTTACCGTCGTCGCTGGGGCGGCCATCGCCGGCATGTTTCCATCCTCCGACAACGAATCCGCCGATAACGAATCGGAGGCCGCCTCTCCCCCCGCCTCTGCTGCCGAGGCAGGCGCCGCAGCCGCAGCCGCAGCCGCCGCCACCGCCACCGCCACCGCGCCTCTTGTGTTGTGCACGCCGCTACCAGCACCTGGTTCTCCTACCTTCACAGACATCACAGAGCCGGATCCTCTCCCGCTTTTACGTCGCCTGCCTGCCACCGCCGCGTCTCTTGTGCCGTGTACGCCGCTACCAGCGCTTGGTTCTCCTACCTTCACAGACATCACAGAGCCGGATCCTCTGCCGCTTTTAAGTCGCCTGCCTGCCACCGCCGCGTCTCTTGTGCCGTGTACGCCGCTACCAGCGCTTGGTTCTCCTACCTTCACCGACCGCACAGAGCCGGATCCTCTGCCGCTTTCGCGTCGACCGCCTGCCGCCACCGCCCCCTCAGGAGCGGAGGAGGCCATGCTGGCGGAGCTGCTGCCGACACTCCCCACTTTTTCGGCCATATGGGGCCTTCCTCCCAAAGGTTTCTGTCGCGTGCCCCCCCCCGTGCTTCCTCTATCTTCCCTATTGGCGGCGGCTGCGTAGGACGACGTGGTCTCGCAATACGGCGGTGGAGATGTCCGTGGTCGGCCACCCGTGGAAACGGCCGTCTGTGCTTTAGCGCTCGCTTCCTGCAAATAATGGTCGCCGTAACAAAAAAACAGAAGGGCAAAATAGTAAGAGACGAGGTGGAGCCGCGTTGGTGGTGGAGGGAGCCGGGAAACGTGCGCCGCCAGCACGGCCTAAGCCAATACGAAGTGCATAACATGCAACGAAAAAATATCCGGTCGTCCAACGCATCATCTTCTATTCTCCAAAGAAAACCTTGACTATGCATACAATGGCTCAGTTTGGAGTCCAACTTCTATTTGGTCGGGGGGGGCGGAGCGGGTGTCGTGCTCGGCACTTTGCCCGGCAGCGTGCATTGTCCATGACACACGAAAAACACCCTATAGATACACTGAGAAATATTACACCACGGGTCGGTCACCTTGAGCATTGCTACACCCCCCCCCCCCCCGCTACAGTTCGAAACTACTACTTCTCCACAGTCGATTCACCTTGAGCATCGCTATCCTCCTTGGCACACTGGCGGCATCCTCGGGCATCTCGTTCGCGGCCACCGTCGGGGTACCCACCGCCATCGCCTTCTTCGTTTCAGCGGCCCCATCATCAACCACCGGCGGCCCTTCCTCGACCCTCGCCACCGCCCTCGCCACTACCCCGGTCCCCGCAGCCGCGGCCGCTGCCGGCGGCCCGGTCGGTATCGAAGAGCCCACGATCCCGACGCTCTCTACCTCCATCAGGCTCGAGATCGAGCCATTGCTACGGCGCCGGCGATGACGCCCCTTCCTCTTGGACTGCGGCTGGGGCACCCTGCCCGCTACCGGTGGCGGCGGTGGCGAACCCTTGACGCTGTCCCCGTCACTGTCATCGTCGAAGTGGATCCGGCCCTGCATGAGCTTGCGGAGGGAGCCGACGTCGCTGCTGCTGTTACGGCCAGCCTTGACCTTTGTTCTGGGCTTGCCGTCCCTACCAACACTCCGCTTGCTTCCACCGCCGCCGCCACCGCCGCCGTCTCCGTCGCCGCCGCCTTTTGGCTCGTCCCCGGCGATCGAATCACCGCTGGAGATCATCGCCACCCCTCCCATCCCGCTGTCGCTTCGCAGCAGCCCCAGGACGCGCGCGGAGGACATCTTGACGAGAGGGCCGGTGGGCTTCGAAAAGTCTTGAACGGGGGCGGGTGCTGCGCCCTTCTGCGTCAGGTGCTCGGGGCTACGGTGAGGCGGGTGCGGCTCGGGGGGTGCGTGCTGCTGCTGTCCAGAGGACCTCCGCTGCGGTAGGTTTCACCACCAGAGAACGACAGCGGCGGAAGTGAACCACACGTGGTCAGCCGTTTTTCCTCCTCACGAGGGAAGGGATGCTACAAAAGTGACGGCAGGTCTTGCGTGCGCACACCTCGCAAACGCTACGTAGGTTGGCACAAAAAAAAGCCCTTTGAACGCGACATCCATGGCCACAGATACAGATACACCGCACCGCGACTCCACTCTCATCCAACACGCAGCAGCACTCAAGCATGCCAACATGCGCCCAAGGGACGCAAGAGGCATATACGTTTGTCATGATACATCGGGACTGGAACCGTGCGGTTTTTTCGGGTCGCAGAACGAGTATTGATGATCCTTCTAAAAAAAACACAAAGAGACACATACACACTGCGTTCGATGCTCCTTCTCAACAAACACAACAGTACCCATACACACCCGGTCACGTCATTCCGTGGGCCAGCCGGGTAGGGCGGCCGATGCAAATCAAAGGGACACACACATTACACATTCACGCTCCTGCCCCACAACCCCGCCCCTCACACGCCATGCATGCCCTTCAGGAGCGTTTTTCGTTTCTAGTTGCACTGAGACTGAACTACTTTCATTGGTCAAACGGTTTAGCGCTGTCGGTGCTAACAGCAAATACACACCACGCACACGCGATACTGTATACCCCGGACTCTTTCATCTGTGGAAGACATGAAGTTGTTGTGGTTTGGTAGACAGGCAAAAAAAAAGATAAAACACGCACGCACAGCAATAAATGTCAAGAAAATAAATATAAAACGCACACACACACTGACACACCTGCTCCGCTCTCTCGATAGCGACTTGCGCCTTCACAGCGAGATTCTCGGCAACCTTGGTGTGCTCCAGCCGGAGCGACTCCTCTAGCGCCTCCAACGCCTGGCTCTCGTGACCCCCCCACCGGAGGTACACCTTTCCTAGGCAGGTGTAGTGGCCATTCTTGTTAGGCTGGAGTCGGCTCGCTCGTCGGAACCCTTCCACCGCCGCCTCGTAGTTCCCTGTCAAGCCATTGCGTGCGGAATGGGTAGGGGGGGGGGGGGGGGGGGGGGGGGGGCCCTTTTTTTCCCCCCTCTCTTCCCCCCAAAGGGAACCCCAAAAAAAGCTTTTTCCCCAACCAAAGGGAAAAAAAAAAACCCCTTTCCAAAAAAAAACCCCCTTTTCCCGGGGTTTCAACCCCGGACCCCGGGCAATAAAAGCGGGGGGGAAAACAAAAAAAAAACCCAAAT